CATCTGACACATTTTATTAGCTGAATGTTAAAAATAAGATTTTTACAGTCATCTTAAGAGATATAAAAAGATTCCACTATAAAAAAAATACAAAAATTCTGTGACAAAGTATTATTTAGAATTCAGTGTGCAGAAAACAGCCAAAGATTTTTTAAAGTACTTAGAGTTCATCATGCTGGTAGACATTGTACTCCTTTGCTGATATGAAGCCATCTCCATCATGATCATTCTTCTTAAATATATCAGCTAAGATTTCATCATGGGCGGAAGGATGACGTTTTTTGCCATCTCTTGCAAATTCTTCTTTCAAATACTGGCTTATCTAGAAGAAAAGAAAAAAGTCAAATCATTGTGACTTTTATGTCAGTACTCAATCTATATCTTCAAGGACGCTGGGGGTATACAAGTAATGCATTGTGATTCCAGTGCAGACACATCTACAGCTTGTCTACAGGAAGTGTGAGACTGATGAATGTATTAAAGCAAATTTCAGCAAACCAAGTACAGTGTAGTTTGTGTCAACACACAGAAACCTTACATGATCAGCTGCAGCACAGGCAGCTCATGTAAAGGTAAAACTGATGCAGCCACACTTACAATTTTATAAATTATTTGTTTCAAATTATTTGCATCATATTACCTCAAGTTCAGAGAGTTTCTTGTCACCGTCTTTGTCTATTTGATTAAATGCTTCAACACTACGAGGTCCTTTATTTACTGCATAAAGTTCAATCTCAAAGATCAGTGTTGCATTGGGTGGAATCTTGCCCTGTGCTATGAATAAAAGAAAAAAAAGCATTTAAGGAATCAGACACTAGGGGCAGAGATGACATGTAAGATAAATTCACAGGTAAAGCATTTTTTAATAAAAAAAGGCTGTGCTAATCTTCAGATTAAACTCTGAATTCAAATGTTGTCCATCTAGACAGGAAGATTGTGTTAAGATAAATGATTTTGGGAAAAACTTGCTAATCATGTACTTGCCTGAAACAAAACTGTATTGCATACCAATTCAGGTACTTTCAGAATTCAGGTGAATGGTTATCATGAAAAACAAGTACTTCTAAAGGTCTCACTCCTTCACTCGCTGTCATAGGGCTTATTTAGAGATTGGTTCTAAAGTACATGCCTTTATTAAACAGCTGCAATCTGATTTAAAATATAACAGTAGTGGATCAATGCTCCTATGCATTGTCTGTCTGAAGAAACAGACATGTTTGACCTACTTTGTATGAATTATACCTGTGGTAAAAGGTATTTTACGTACACTGTAAAATAATGTTTAAAATGTACATCTCAAAAAGCAGCAACAGAGTGTAAGTCATCTGACTTGCTAAAAATCCCCCCAGAATCTTCAAACTACTGGAATACTTTGTCTGGCCTCTGAATTAAGAAAATAACTGTTAGAATTCTTTGTTCCTGGATCAAAGCATTTTCTGTCACCTGATGTAAAACCAGCTCTGCCTACAAACACAGGTCCATGTATCATGCATCTGGCAAAAAAAAGGAACTGAAAAGAGACAGCAACAAACCAATGAGGTCTAAAAATAGTGCCAAAAGAGCATAAAGAAATCATGCAGTGTAAAATTAAAATGTAAACATGCAAGCTGCCAAAGCCAGTGAGCATGACACTGTAACCTCAGAATTTTGAGCTCATGTCTATCCTTCATAAACTGAAGACAAGCTACGGAATCTACACTGTTTGTAAACAGAAGATAAAACTATTACACTACTCATCTAAAGTAGCCATAGTAAAAATAACAGGTTTCAGAGTTCAAAAGGTTTTAACTTTCCATGCTTTAGAAAAGTAGAAGTTTTAAATACATCTGAATACAAATCATGATTTAAATACACCTTACAAAAGAAAGATACAATACTAGAATTCAGTGCCAGCAGTTTACAAATATACATACCAACAAAGGAAAGACATGTAAAGGTTTAGAAAGCCACATGCATCTTTTCTAATTCAAGATTAGGCAGGTATCTTCCCCAGCATGCAGGAATACGCTGAGACAGAGGACAGGTGTGCTGTAGGAAAATACTACTTCCTTCAAGTGCTACCTGGAACAAACAGTTAACACTAGTATTAAAGAACATTTTTTTATTTGCATCAGTGTTTTTCCTTTTTGTATGAAATTGTATTAAAGACAAAATTGGTGCATTGAATTCTGATACAACAATATCAAAATATTATTATAGAGCAGGAGCTACCTTTTCACAGAACTACTACACTCAGATCAGAGCTGAATTAATCTACATTTGAGTGCTGAAACACTGCCTAAAACTTGTACTGGAACTTTTTTTAGTAATCTGCACACTGAATTATCTTATATTCAAATCAGATTTCATGCACTGCACTGCTGCAATTACTGTGTAATGTGATAATGAGAGCCATTAACTATTCAGAATGTAAGCAGTATTTTAAGCAAATTATTTCTACTTAGATTAATTGCACTGCATTATAGTCCATTTTACTCAGAAGATGCAGATTTTTGTTAAAAGGCTAAACAGGTAGCAGTCAAATAATAAACCCCAAATTTGACTGGAATTTAATATATTAACACAACAATGCTGATATGGCTCATGGGGATCTTCCTTTTGCTGCCAGTTTTTCCCACTACTTGGGAAAACCCTTTGGGTGGCGTGTACTGAGTTCTAATGGGAACTGCAAGGCCTGGGTGTGGGTCTGTGGTCAGGACTACTTAAACTGGGTAGCAATGAGCAGGACTGGGGCTGCACAGCTGCACCGCCCCCAAACGGGAGCACCAGTTCTCACAGATATTTACAATACTGTATGTTTCAAAGGGTAAAAAACACAGGAAAGACAAAGCTTGGAGTTAGAACTTCTTTTTTACCATATCCTTGCTGTCCGTATGCTAATGATGGAGGAATTGTCACTTTCCGTTTTTCTCCGGGACACATATTCATCATAGCAATATCTAAGCCCTTTATGACTTGTCCAACACCCAGAACAAACCATTTTGGATGACCTTCATTTTGCGTCCGACTATTAAAAAAAAAAATTGTGTATGAGTAACATTAATATAATGTTTCTTAACATAAATACAACTTTTAGTTGCAGTTAGTAAGAACACAGATTATTAGCACACAAGAATGTTTAGAGTACAAGAATACAAAGTATAAACACTTTTTCTGCTACATTTATAAGTGGGGGAACGGATCATTTTGTAATGAGTTAAGCTACTGTCTGAGGATAGATGGATGGGGCAAAGTGAAAAAGTAAGACAAAATGATAACTGCGGTAAAATGGACGGCACAACAAATCAAGAAGGAAAACGGGCACGAGGCAAAAAGGCTGCAAACCACTAGTATAATAATGTGGTTGCACTGCACAGTGCCAACTATGTGGAAGTGGATGCTATATAAAAGTTTCTGCCTAAAATTGTCAGCGTGCATTCCTACCAGGAGCTCCTCCTCCCAACCCGAGCTTTTCTGCACAGGTTACAGCACAGAACACGACAAGTATCAACATAATGGGATTTTTTTCCACGCCGACAAAGGTGAGGTGTGGGCTATAGGCTCTCGAAGTTTCTCCCTTGAGACCCTGGGACCCTAGGGACTCCCTAGTTTGACCCTAGGGAAACTCTGCATCGTTCAACACTCGGCTCAGGACAAGTCAAGGCTGAGACGGGGAGAAATCCCTATTGCTGATGTAGTCAGCACGGGCCCCGAGCTGTGGGCACTCCGGGAGCGCCCCGAGTCCCGCTTATCCGGCTTCGGGTGCGCGGAGCGGCTGTGCCACGTGGAGCGCCCACCGCCCGTCCTCCGACCCGCTGCCACCGGGGCTCACCTGCAGTAAAACTTGGATCCGTCGCTGGCCAGGAATCCGTCATAGTGCGCGTTCAGCAGGTCGCCCTTCTTGCTCTTCGGGCTGCAGGTCTCGGGGAGGTGCAGCACCTCTATTTGAACCTCCTCTGCTGCCGCCGAGCCGCCCTCGGCCCGCGCCGGGGCCGCCAGCAGCGCCAGCGGCAGCAGGAGCAGGCTCAGCCCTCGGCCCATGTCGCTCCGAGGAGGCCGCCGGCGTGGCACTGTCCCCGCCGCGCCGAGAGGCGGGGGCCGAACCAGCGGCGCCGCTCCGCCTCAGTCGCGCCGGACGCGGGGACGAGCCCGGCCCAGCAGCGGCCGCGGGGCGGGCGGTTCTTCGGGCCGCCCTCTCCGCTCAGGAAGTGGAAGGGACGTCGGAAGCGGCCGCGGGGTGGCGGGGCCGGGAGTGCGGCCGGGCGCGCATGGGGGATGCAGAGCGCCCCGCGGGGCGGGCGGCGCCGCCGGAGCCGCCGCGCCATGTATCAT